ATTGAAATTATAACAATTTATATTGTACAATTGTGTGTTTCCTCTTCGTGTATTTGTAACATTTTCAACAGATACTGTGATACAGTGAGTGAGTTGTGTAAGTGTTTGTGTGAATGCACATTATCCTTTTTTCTAAAAGAAAAGTGATGTTCACATATTCCTGCTACAAGGATACATAAAAATGAAACTTTTTGAAACTTTAATGAAAAGTTTTTCTTTGAACAAAAAAAATTATAAAATTTTATATGAATTTTATATAAATTTAAACAAAATATTTAACTTAAATTTTCAATATAAACCACAGCTTTCATTGAATATATTCCCTGTATAAAGGCGAGGTCAAGTATCTGTTTACCATCATCCTCTCACTCCGCACTCAATGCATTTTATATACAAAGTATTTCTAAAACCGATACATTGTATACTAAAAGTACAATTTGTATATAAAGAAAATTATTCCTCCCGAACAGACACATTAAACTGACTATTTTATTAATAACAAGAGTAAAGAAACAAACGTCCTTAGGCGACCTAGTGAAAGCAGGATAGTTGCAAGTTACAGTTGCCACATAAACTGCATACAAATAAAAAAAACTATTTATAGCATGTATCGGAATTTATATAAACTCTCCTCTCCGGGAGTACATAGGCCATAGGGAACCTGCGCTTTAATAACAGAGAGTTAATTTACCTATGAAGCGCAGTGAGAAAATGACAGGTTTTATCCTACAAAAAGTTTTAAATTGTATATATTTATTTTCATGACAACAATATGTTGCAATATTGTAGTTGGTGACTGCAAGTGTTGAGAAAATTATAATAAAAATTAACAGTTTTATAAAACTATGATTTCGCACAAAATGTTTTAAATAATAATCAAGCGATATTCAAGGTATTTCGGCCGATTTATGTGCTGGTCGTGGTCTATGGTTTAGTTAGTTAATTAGTTAGTTAGTTAGTTAGTTAGTTAGTTAGTTAGTTAGTTAGTTAGTTTAGTTAGTTAGTTAGTTAGTTAGTTAGTTAGTTAGTTAGTTAGTTAGTTAGTTAGTTAGTTAGTTGTGTTAGTTAGTTAGTTAGTTAGTGTAGTTGTTAGTTAGTTAGTTAGTGTTAGTTAGTTAGTTGTTAGTTAGTTAGTTAGTTAGTTAGTTAGTTAGTAGTTAGTTAGTTCGTTAGTTAGTTAGTTCGTTTTCGTAGTTCGTAGTTAGTTAGTTAGTTAGTTAGTTAGTTAGTTCGTTAGTTAGTTAGTTGTTCTTAGTTAGTTAGTTAGTTAGTTAGTTTTAGTTTTAGTTAGTTAGTTAGTTAGTTAGTTAGTTCGTTAGTAGTTAGTTAGTTAGTTAGTTAGTTAGTTAGTTAGTTAGTTAGTTAGTTAGTTAGTTAGTTAGTTAGTTGTTAGTTAGTTAGTTAGTGTTAGTTAGTTAGTTAGTTAGTTAGTTAGTTAGTTAGTTAGTTAGTTGTTAGTAGTAGTTAGTTAGTTAGTTAGTTAGTTAGGTAGTTAGTTAGTTAGTTAGTAGTTAGTTAGTTAGTTAGTTAGTTAGTTAGTTAGTTAGTTAGTAGTTAGTTAGTTAGTTAGTTAGTTAGTTAGTTAGTTAGTTAGTTAGTTAGTTAGTTAGTTAGTTAGTTAGTTAGTAGTTAGTTAGTTAGTAGTTAGTTAGTTAGTTAGTTAGTTAGTTAGTTAGTAGTTAGTTAGTTAGTTAGTTAGTTAGTTAGTTAGTTAGTTAGTTAGTTAGTTAGTTAGTTAGACAATAACTATTATATATTTAATTCAAAAAGTTTCAAGATGCAAATTAACTCTGCTATTGTACGGATTTACAGATCCATAAATACATATGTAGATATATTTTGCAACAATTTTATACACTCGTAAAAAAGGTACATACACGTAATTCCTTATATACTTTCAAAACCTCATACCAAATCTGTTCTAAATATTACTCTAAAAAACTGATTTGTCACATTTTATAACAAAAAAGTTATTAATTTAAATATTTTTGTATGAAAAGAAATAAAATCGTTGGTATTGGTGGTGGTTACAAAAAACACGCCATGACAAACAAATTCAATATAAAAGGGGAGATGGTACACTCACACACAATCACAGGGAAGAAAAAAAGACAGATGGCAGTAGAAACGTTTTTGGTTGGTTAGTTTTACAAATGAATGCACACATCTAAATTTACAAACACAGATACTGTATAATGGAAACATGGAAACACAATGGAAATAAAAACAAGAAACAGCGACAGCAGAAACTTAAACAGCTAGCAGCAGTTGGTACTTAAATACCAACAACGCATTTTGTAGGCAACAACGATACAACTTTTGATCTTAAAACATTGGCAACTAGAAGAAGACACTAACAACTCTAGAGGGCACATACAACACAGGGAAGGCGAATCTCTGCAGCAGTAACGAAAAAAACATTTACAAATTAATAAGAAACAAAACTTAATGAACAGTAGAGAACAGGAAAAAAGAAACAGCTCAAAAAACCGACCAACAATAAACAAAAGAGCTTTAAAGAACAAAAGAGAGAAGATACAGCAACAACTACAACGACAAAAAGTAGCAGATGAGGGAATAAAGTACAAAATGAAACCAACCAACAACAACCACTTCCCCCCGACATCAAAAAAATTATAAAATGAAAACAACAAGAACAACTTCTGCAAGTTTATTGAAGGCCACCACCAGTGGGATAAGAAATAAGGCCCTTTAGGGGCCTTTGCATTTATATAATCATATTTGATCTTTAGTTAGTTTAGGGGCTTATTTTTTCCCAAAGTCCTTAAGCTGTCAAATATTGACAGATTACTCTTTACTATTTACTTATGTATGTAATGATCTGCCTATGCCAATATTTAGATTTCAAACAAAATCATTTTAGGTTCTTCCGAGTCATTTTTGGGCAGCTAGAACACTTTAAAAAGATAAATTTACAGCATTTTTTTAATGTCTATTAACTGGAAGTATTTCGCCAAATTTTTCCCGTACTAATATTCCGAATAACAAATTAAGTAAGCAAGACTGTGTCCGAAATACACCATTAAAGTTCAAACATCCGCATAAACTTCGACCAATAAAATCTATATTAACTGAAAACCTTTCCCAATTAGAAAGCACTAAATAAATATCGAAATTGCATAGGACGTTTTATACTTCAAAATTAGGCCTTCTTCAAGGCCTCTTTATTTCATATTTTCCCTGCTTCGTGTATATTTGAAATATACGAGTAAAACATAGAGATGAAGTAAGTTAGTAAGTGAATGGATGAATGACTAAATGTAGAATGAATGTGATTTGAATACAATGGTTTCTTTTTTGTTGTTTGATTGTTTTTTAATGTATTTCAAACTGTGTGTGAGTGAAACATAGTAAACACAGAGATGCCAGATGTTTCATTTATTATGACCTACAGTAGGTTATCAGAATCCATAGTCGAAAGGTAATGTTTGCTTCACAATTCTAATGTTAAAAGTTAAGTAACCACTAATTATACTGTATTGTATGGTAAAAATCCGACCATATATTGGAAGCATATAGAGGCCGGACTAAATGAGAACCTATACAGGGGGGCTTCTGCAACTGGTACTTTTTGAATTTTCTATAATACTAGCTATAACCAGTGTGCTTTGCTACCTTAAAATCAATATTAATAAAAACTCCACATTTTGAAGATTCTATCTCTAACAGTTTCCCAGATATAGGAATGTTTGTATGTAATTCATATGGGAGGTGCCAAGACCCCTATTGAAAATCCGCCAATTTATTACCCAAATGTTCACATTCATGTCAGAGTTCTTCTGGAGAAATTCTAGCTCTTTTTAGCTTTAAAAGTTTATCAGATAAACGAATTTTTGTGTTTAATTCATATGGGAGGTGCAAAGCCTCTCTTATAAAAGTCCGCTCATTTTTCTCTCAAATATTTTTTCAAAAATTTTCCAAAAACTGATGTAAAAATGTAAACTTTGGTTTCTGGAATAAGATTTATTTGGTCTGTGTATTTTAATACAATTTTGAACCACTGTTATCAAGTCGAAAAAACTTTGTTTAGAAAAGTTTAGAGAACAATTACAGATTGATCTCTTAGGACATCATATTGTTAAAGTAAAAAGTCAACTATAAGCAAAGAACAAATCCAAACAAATCTGGCAGCACCTGCTTTAACTCTGAGAGTTTTTAATATGTACGTCTGTGATTACGAGAATTGTATCGATGATGATGGTAAAATGTGAGTGAACAATTTTATATACAGTACCAAATTGGATTTTGAAACTTTTTTAATTGCGTGCGTCACAGTCATCAACGTAGTTGTACACACAGATACACAAATACATAAACACATTATGAGTTTCGTGTGCCAGTCTGACAGTCAATAAATCGGATGGATTGTTTCACTACTAGCAATTTACTACTTACTCACCTTCATCCTGCCACTCAGTAATATTCACTCAAATTGTTGTTGTTGTTATTGAAAATTCACACAGATACACACACTCATACTTCAAATCTAGTATGTATTTACATTAAATACAATTTGTATAATTGTATGTATGTATGCATGTACTTTAACATTTATGTATACTTTTTCTTTTCTTAAAAATTATTATTTTTTCTTTTTTTGTTGTATATTGTTACTTTAGTTTATATCAAAACTGTGTGTTCCACAACCAACAGACACATAGAAAAAACACACAGAAAACACACGCACATAGATTCATTTCTGAAGGTGGTTGGTTGGTTGATTCTGCTGCATGTAGCAAACACTGACAGGGCAAACAGACCAACAAACAAGAGTAAACAAGAGGCATTTACGGAATCAACCCCCAAAAATACACCAACAACAATAACAGCAGCAGCAAGAAAACAATATTGTATTCAATTGTTACTCCGCGAAACAGAGAATGAATGGAATGAATGGTTGATGATGGTGATGTTGAGGATGGTTGGGTTGGTTGGTTGATGTTTTCTGTTTGTTTTTGTATTTATTTTTTATCCATCAACAATATTGAAGAAATTTGAATCAGTTGCAAACGAGTTCTCAGTGCGTTACGACGACAACCTAAAAACGCGCTGTGTTTGAGAAAAAAAAATTGGTTACAAAACTAAACAGAAAAAAAATTAAAACAGTTAAAAAAACTACTAAAATTGTTACATTTTCGAATACGGATTGTGAAAATAATAAAATACAAAACAATTAATATTGTTGCACTTTTTAAAGGAATTAAACAAAATATTATAAAAAAAACAATTTAAAATAAATTTTTTTTAAACAGTAATTTGTGTTTTTAAAATTAACAAGAAAAAAATATACAATATAAATTCCCCTAAATACTTGGCTATGAGCTTATTAACAAACTAATTTTGTGAAATTTTCTTATAAAAAATTGTTATAAAAACAAAACTCCATAAAAATAATTTCACCCTACAAAGTGTGAAAAGTAATGAGTTTACCCAGTGGTGTTGATATGCAAAATCTCATGTCTCAACATCCAGTTTTAGGTGCTTTGCCACCGGCATTCTTTTTACGTGCCGCTTCCGAACGTTATCAGCGAACTCCCAAATGTGCCCGCTGTCGAAATCATGGAGTGGTTAGTATTAAACGATTTGTTAAGAACTTGAAGCTCGTCATTCATGAGCTACTAAACATATTTAAAACTTTTAAGTATTTTTTAATAAATAATAGCGGATATACAAACAAACTAACAAATTTATTTTGTTTTTATTTTAGGTCAGCGCTTTAAAGGGCCACAAACGTTATTGCAGATGGCGCGATTGTCTATGTGCTAAATGCACTTTAATTGCTGAACGCCAACGGGTCATGGCAGCACAGGTTAGTGCACAAAGAAAATTTTAAAATTTTTGAAAAAATAACTTTAATATGGATTAAAAACTTTCCGACGAAAAGCTCTTTAATATTTTTAACATATTTGTTAACTAAAAAATCGACTTCGCCAAATAGTTATGGAACGTTATATCTTATTAATACGCACTTCATATGTTCCCGACGCTAATCATTTATTGTCAAGATAACAAATCTTCGCACAATTTTGGAATAATAATGGAGTCATTCAACAATTTCTAAAATTAAGATTTTTCAACAAAAGCTTTTCTTCAACTTTCTAACTAATTATATCCTCATTATATATGTAATTAGTTTTAAAGTATGAATTATGTAAGATTAGAAGATATATATGTACATGCTTTTGACGCTATCGTGGCTGTACGTTCCTTTTCAGATCTTTTAGTAGGAATCAAACCTACGACCTCTGTACTGACAGACTAGAATACTAACAACTGACCTACGGAGATATACATATCTCGAAACAATATCTAATCCTTAAGATATCTTGAGTCTTTTAAAAGTTGGTTTTATCAAACAGGTGGATTTTCAGATATGTATCTAACCTATAGGTATAGGGTTAAATATATATCAAAAATAGACTTTCTATGTTCAAAATTTAGAATCGGAGATATATATAGAGCTGATGTAGTTGGGTATTTATATTATTTATGATTTCAAGTTGGTTATCAATCTATTATATATTCTTATTCGACCCCCCTCTCTATAAGGATCTACAATATACAAATTTTTATAAGATATCTGATACCGACACCGCATCGAAGTCGGTATCTATTAGCATCAATAACGTATATATTATTTTTGACAGAAAATTTAAAATGGAATAAAAAAACATCGAAAGAGATGAAGAAAAAGAGATAATAATGAGAGATCACTAAATCTATTTTGTTTTAAACATCCAATTTCGGGGGTCTAATAAAGTACTCAATCAGGCCATAACTTGCACTAATTAATATTCTAAAAATTTTTCTTCTTGCAAAGTACAAACAACATCATATTATGGATTCAATTATTTGGGGAAGTAGAAGTAGACTTTCAATAGCAAGTGTTGTAAGTAATCAGCAATTTTGTTAAAAAATCTCAATGACTTTTTTATTTTTATTCAAAGAACACAAATATATATTTAAAAAAAGTTTTTAAAGATTTAAACCGTAATATAGTTGCAGCTAATGGGACTTCAAATTTATATTTCTGGGGTCGGGAGGAGTTAAATTTTAGAGATATTTAGATTTTTGAGTAAAGAGTCCACAACACCAATAAAGGGCCTGCATCACTGGCTCTAATAACTATTAATAAAATTGTTGCCTTAATAATAAATTCGATTCGATGTTTTAATTATTGGTTCAAATCAATACGTAATAAATTGAGTAAATTGCTAAATATTTCTTAAAATGTTATGCGAAAAATTCTAAAACTTTATTGAGAACAAAACTCTTATACTACCGTAGCTCAGGGTACTATAAAAATATATGAATAAAATTATCTAAAGTATATAGAACAAGATTTTAAAACCAAATCAAATTATTGGCCAAGATTTTCCCTAACGACTTTTATAAAATTTTACGTTTCTTGACATTCTAACGTTGTAAACAAAATTTAAAATGATCTAATATTTAACACTTTACTCTTTTACCTCCAGGTTGCCCTACGTCGCCAACAAGCTCAAGAGGAAAACGAAGCCCGAGAATTAGGATTGTTATATACGAGCGTACCACCACGTGTGCCATCACAAAATACCAATGAGAATACAACCACGGCCACAACATCACAACTATCACCACAACAGACATCGGCCAATGGAGTATTTCATGCAGGCATACCTTCGCCCCCCAGTGATGGACTTGATTCCACAAACAATTCAACACATCATCATACCCGTATGCCCTTTAGCAATGGCAATTCAGGGGATTCAGATTCAGAAATGCGCATAAGAGCAGAAAGATTATCAATGGGTTTCTCACCCGATCGTACGGAAGTAGAAAGTCCTGGTAAGTTTAGTATTAAATATTTTCATATTATTTACTTTAAAATTAACATTTCCGACTGCTTAAACAACAACAACAATAATAATCAAGTGTTGAGAATTTGTCAAACAAAGTGTATTTCTTTTCGGTTGCTGCTGCTGCTGTAGTTGTTAAATAATGTTGCCTGCTGTCAGGCGTAAAGATGTTGTAATTCTTTATGTTACCACATGTGTTTTAACAAAAGATTTTCCACTTTTATTATTTGCCAAAAGAATTGCACACCTACAATGCAAACACGTACTCTCTCTCTCATACTTAGCGTAGAAGTACTTGTGTGCAGCATTACATTTCCGCTTTGACAACTTGCCACCTTTGGTTTTTTTTCTTTATTTCTACTTCTATTTTTTTCTGCACTAATATGTGCCACCCCTGCTTCTTTGTGTCTGCGTTTTATTTATTTAATTCCTTGGTAAATTTTATTAAAAATAATAATAATAAAACATTTAGAAAAAAACAAAACAATGCAATTTGGTTCATGTTAAAAGCTAACGAGGTACATTTCATAAAAGAAATAAAAACATTGAGGCGAGAAAACGTTACAGTATTTTAAGTTTCGCTTAAGCCGTTTTTTGCTGAAAGTAATTGTAAAGGAAGGCAAGGAAAATTAAATTGTAGTTAATCTTATAATTTAAAAAAAAAAAAAACTATAGACACGGAATCAAGGGTGTAAAACGAAATTAAGGCAAGAAATATTCGTTTAATTCAGAAATATCTTTTTAGTTTTGATTACAAATCAAATTTCAGATCAGGATCAGAATTTAGCCCAGAAATTTGTTTCTTTTCTAAACTGATTTATAAGGGTTTACTATATGTGAAATCTCCAATAGTTCATGAGTTCTATTTAACCAGTAAATTAGATTTTTTTAAAAAGCGTTACTAAAGCATAGTTATGGGTATAAAATATGAACCGATCCTAACAAAATTAAGTAAAGGGATTTTTGTTGACATAAAATACATATAGTTATGCCGAATTTAATCGAAATACAAGTGTTTATAAGGGAATAAACGACGTTCAAAGCATTTTCAGAGAGGGGCTTTGTACGGGGGTAGGGTATCATTTATGCTTATAGAAAACGTAGTTGTGATTATTTTTGTAAAGATATTAGTATATTTGGCATAATCATTGGCTGCAAAGCCCAGTTTAGGGAGTCCGGTTGTTTAGGAGCTAGAAAAAATGGACTGATATCAACCAAAATCAATAGGGTTTGTTCTATAGTAATACGTGTACCAAACTTCATTAAATTATCTTCAAAATTGTGACCTGTAGTTTGAAAACTAGGTTTACATGGACAGATAGCCAGACGGACATGGCTTAATAGACTCGGAAAATGATTCTGAGCCGATTGTTATGCATTACAAATATCAGCACAAATCCTATATACCTTCCACCTTAAAGTGGTGGGGTGAGTTATCTAAAAAATTTCCAAAAAGATCCTTAATAATTTTTGAAAATTTTAAAAAATTGTTGGTACCGAAGTTACATCCAAAATATACCTATTTTTATGTTAATTTCAAGACAAATGTTTTCTAATCGCATATTTGATATCAAAAAATATCAACCCAGTTCATATGAACCGTCTTGTTTTAATTAATTTTATAATGTGTTTAAACAACCCCTCCCCTAATATGGACAATACAGTCAAAAATCTAATGAGTCCCATTTTAGGGATTTTTCAAACCTATTTAGGAATTCCAGAATTTTTTATTTCTTCAAAATTTTAAATTTTTTTGAAAAAAAATATGTACTAAATTTCCTATCCATTGATATATAATATGTCCATCTTGTATTTTGTACATTGAATAGTTAATGTCCTGGAATTAGAAAAAAAGGGTCGTTTTAAACCCAAGAAAGTCTACTTTGGTGAACTGTCTAGAGTAGATCAATGAGGTTCAAATTCAAAAGAAAAAAGGAAACATGTAACGAATCACAAACATTTTTTCCAAGATTATAAACAACACAAAATTTCTTCCAATTGGCAATATTTATCTGCAATTATTTACACAGGATTAAAAGAAACACCCACAACCAAATCAATAAGTAAGGGGAAAGGGATTGAAACTTAATTAAATTTCAAATATCTAAAAAAGTGCTTCACAAATACCAAATACAGAATCGCAATCACAAGCAAAAATTAAAAAAAAGCAAATAATGAAAAATAACTGATATAAAAATAACTCCGTGAAGTATCGAATGACTACTGTAACTGTCTTTAATATTTGTATTTGTAAAATGATTTGTGTTTACTTGAACATATGCCCCTGTTACCAGGTTACCTGTCCATGCTGGTGAATTGACAGTTAAGAGTGGGATCCGGTAGCATTAACCTGTATATGTGTGAGTGTGTGGATTTGAAATATAAATTTGATACTTTATTTTTATTTGTTTATCTTGTTTGATGATGATGATGAACAACATTAAAAAGACAAATACAACTCAAGAGGTTGACTTAAGAAGCAAAAGAAGTTTTAAAAAGTGCTTCTACAAAACTGTTAAAGTTGTTGCTGTATAAATTTATTTAAGAAAAGAAAAACAATATTGTTTTTTAAGAAAAAAATTAAAAAATGTTTACACACTTTAACTAACAAACTTTATTTCTTGTTTGTTTTCATTTTAGGCTCCAAACGTGCTCGCCTCTCTAATGAAACCGATCAAGATACCGGCTCAGAATCTGCCCCCAGCAGTCCACATCCTAAAGGCTCCAGTTATAACAACAATGGCAATCTCTCACCTGCACGCACTGGACCACCAAGTTCCCCTGAATCCGATTTGGATGTAGATTCAGCTCCAGATGAGGCTACTCCTGAAAATCTTAGTCTGAAGAAAGAAGATTCCACCTCACCTCCGCATACGCCCTCCAATGACAGCATGCATATGTTGAGATCTTTTAGCAATGGCAATGCTCAAGGTTTTATGCCCTATCATCATACACAGTTCTTAGCAGCGGCCGCAGCCAGTGCTCATTCACATGCCCAACATGCTCAACACTCGCCTCATCATCCTCAACAGCCACAAATGCCACCACAACATCCCTCGGCCAGCCAACAACAACGTTCTCCAGTCGATGTGCTTATGCGTGTGTTTCCCAATCGCCGAAGAAGTGATGTAGAACAATTATTGCAGCGTTATCGAGGAGATGTTTTGCAAACCATGGAAGCCATGATTTCGGGAGAGGACATTCTAACAAGTTCCACAAACTCACCTCCCAATGTACCACCTTCACCACCATTTCCTTTGAAATCAGCTTTCTCACCTTTAGTTCCTCCGGCTGCTGTTTTCGGTTCACCCACCCACAGATATCCTCCATTTATGCAAGCCCACGCTAAACGTTTCTTAACAGCACCCTATGCCGGTACCGGCTATTTGCCGGGTGTTATAAATCCAGCAGATGTTGAACAGTCTGAATCGAATGGTGGTGCGTCAGTGGATCGTAATAGCAATGCTGGAGATTCACAAGATTGAGATTTCGGTTTAGCCGGTGGTGAGCACAACGGCATGTTTAGACCATTTGAGTAGCGCTGGCGCAATTTGGATTCGGACTAAGTTATCCACAATGAAACCGATACCATACATGAATGACAAGCTGTACATAATCATAATTAAGACTCACAGACAAATTATTTAGGGAACTTAATATTTTATAGGACAAATTGTGTAAAAGAAGAAGTATTTGCAAAGTGGATGGAATCTTCTCTAACTTTAGTCGATCATAAATATTCTTTAGTACATGTTACTTACTTCTAATGTTAAATAGTAATTGTTGCTTAAAAAAATAATTAAATAATAATAATTTAGTAGAACTTCAAAATATACGTACATAAAAACCTACAAATTACGCACATTAATTGTAATTTGTTACAAATAACAAAACGAATAAATTATATCATCTGTATTATATAAATTTAAATTGACCAGTGTTGTATTCCATTATATTGAAAACAAAAAAACAAACTAAGATAAAAGATATTGTAAAATATTAAATTGGTTAAGAATGCCAAACAAATTAAGTAAATTTAATAATGAAAATTATATATTGCGATATTTACTCATAATTAAATAGTTATTACTTATTGTTAAGTATTTAAGTAACAAATTTATTTGTAAAAAATTAAAAAAAAAAAATTAACAAAAATAATAAAGAAACTGAACAAATAAATCTCAATACATACTGTGTTAAAATAAAATTATCAATAAAATATTTTGGGTCTTTTATATCGTTATGTAGAAATAGGTTGGAAGGACCATTCGAAAATAAAAAATTCATGGAAAAGATTTAATGAAAATTTAATGAAAAAATTTATATAAACTAAAAGTTTAAACTCGGGTGCAAACTTATTCAGTAGTATTAAAGTACTATTAAAGACTGTATTGGTACTACACTAAGACAATAGAAAGCTTCGGCACTAGTTCCCAAACATCTTCTAGAAACAAGAAGAAGCAGAATCTTATATTCCTTTTAGATGTGTAATTGGAGCCAGTACTTAACACAATAGCTTGCAGATAAGCAATTTTTATTCAGTTATTAGTGAGCGAAGAAATAAAAGTATAGCCAGTCGTGGTCGACTATATACCCTTCACCAGTCCCTTCACATCCATGGACGTTATAACGTCCATGGATATTATCACACGCCACCCTTGAATAGTACCTTGGTTCCGATATATTTATGGACGATAAACTAATTTTCTGAAAGAAGCTTTATATAGGGACTAGGGGCAAATATGGACCGATTCCGATAAAATTTGATTCATATATTTATATAATATTTATTTATGCTGAATTTCATCGCAATATTAGTGTTTAGAAGTAATTTTCTGAAGGAAACTTTGTATGGGAGCTAGGGTCAAAAGAGACCCGATCACTATGTAATAACACTACTTCTATGTAACCAGGACGGTATGTTGTAGTCATTGAAATGTATGGTAGTGGTTACAAGTAAAAGACATTACCAAGTTTTTCCTGAGAAAATAACTACGTATGTATTATAAACAATATACTGCTACGACGAGACCCCTACTTTCAAGACCCCTAAACATGCCCAGGAGTGTTTATAAAGGCCAAATTCAAATCTTTAACTCGAAAACACTTCCATTACATAAATTTGAAATTTTATTCTAAACTTACAGTTTTATTTCTACTGGACCAGCTTTATTTCTACTTACATCGACAATTTAGCAATACAATTACAACCATAATCTACTAAGCCTTAAACAATGAAACATTTCGAAAATGAATTAAAATTTTAGACTAAGATTTAATTTTAAAAAACCAACTGCCCCTGTTTTAATAACCGGCTTGCGTTCAAAGATCCGCAGAACCCACTCTTTTGTGAATATTCCAAACCAAACAACTGCATACCAATTGACTTCCCAAATAAATCCTCAATGGCAAATATGTATTAGATATTCGCACAAAAGGATTTTTCATAAAATTACAATTACAGTGTAAAATTTTATATGTATTTGTATTGTGCGAATATTTATTTATTTGTTTATTAATTTCTAAATAAGTAATTTTATAAAACAATACAATGGTATGTATCTATTGAAAGTCCGTAACCCGTAACTTCATAGTCTCTCCGGTAGCTAAATTCAAAAAAAATATAAAACAATAAAGCAACCAGCAACACAACACAAAAACAAAGACTTATAGTCAAAGTCATCAGCCATCGTACGATTGTGTAGTTGGATTTATGTATGAACGTATGTATGTTTATATTGTTGTGGTCATTGTTTGGAATGTTTTGTGGCATGAATTGATTGTTGGGTTTTGTTGGTCATGCCACTCGCCAAACAATGTCAATGTGTGCGTTTGTAAGCCTTATAAAATTCTTGTTGTTTAAAGTCACAACAATAGCAACAAGAACAACAACAATTAGAGTTTTATACAACAAACACAATTTCACTGGCTGACCTCTCCCGTTTTGACAATTGAATTATTGGATAAGTTGTAAGGATATTTTTTTATTATATTTGTCTAATATGTATGTTATCTGTCTGTATTTCTGTATGGGTTGTAAGTAAGTACGAACTATCCTACACATATGAAATGTTGAACTCGTAAGAGATCTATGGGGTCAATTGGTAAATGATTAAAAAGTAATAAAATTAAATGATATACTTTTTGGATAGGAATGCTATAATAGAAAGTTTAAAGGTAGTTATCTTGAAACACGCAATTTGCCTTTAGTTGAAAACTTCTCTAAATAATCATTAGATATTTCGTATTTATAGCAATATTGTTATTAAAATCCATTCAAATAAGTTTCTAATACCCACTTTATTATTAAAGAATCGGTCCAAAATTGGTCAAAGTTCCAATATTAATCATGCTGTTTATATCCTACACCTCTATAGTGGGGAAGATATTATACGTTTGTGATGATATTTGTAACGTACAAAAATATTATTTCTACACCCACCTGAGAGAATACCAATCAGACTAGAATCATTTTCTGAATCGATTAAGCTACATCCGTCTTTCTGACGTTCATGTAAGCCTTGTAATCAAGGTCGCAATTCGATGAAATATAATATGCGTTATACTATTAAAATCGGTCTATCTAACCCCCCCATACAATCCATTTACTAAATTGTATATGTATCCATATTTGACCCTAGACCCTATACAAAGTCTCCTTAGAAAACCATTATGAATATTACCTATATTTCTATCTTATCCAGCATAAATGTTAAACAATGAAATCGTAATCTTCAGGTCAATTATGAACAATTATTTCCCGGGAGTTTGTTCCCTTTTGCGTGCTCTAAGGAATAGGTGTAGGAACAGTATCATATGGTGGGCATAACCGACTTTACACTCCTACTTGTTTTTACATAAAGAAGTAAAATTTTGAAAAATTTAAAAAACTTTTCAATTGCCTCCACCAAATTTCATAAGATTATTATTTGAATTGTAATGTATTTAGATGACTCTCAATGAATGTGTGTGTGGGTCGGTAGACTCTTGTATAGAATCAGGTTTTAGCTCGTTCTGTATATCCGTCTGTCCAGTTGTTAATAAATTGCTCGGTTGCATGTTTTGGCAAATAGTTTTGTAATTTGTTCCCATATTTACAGGAGCAGAGTGTATGTATTTTAAAATAAATTCAACATAGTCTTTGTAGTAACAAAACAATACAAAATAGAATGGTACCATTTACAAACACAATAAACCATACGTAGCTAAATATTAGAGGCTCATGTTGTTGTTGCTGTTGTAGTAGTAGTAAATCGGAAACTGGGGCTTCTGTGTAAATGATACTATTATGTTTCCTATTGTTTTTGGTTTTTATTATTTATATTTTGATCAGATTATTAATCTCTATTGTTGTCCATTAACCACCAACCCACAAACTAAAACAACAACAACTATGGTAATAATTGTGTATGAATGGTTCTAAATGCTGGTCATTTTTCTTTAAACACACTCCAATGGCCTTTAACCTTCAACTTTAAGGGACAGCCTTTTAGGAAATGTTAAAATTTATAAATTTTGTTTTAAATCCCCATTGATCATTAGAGGATTAATAATAATAGTAGTAATGGTTTGTTTATTGTTTTATTTTATAGTTTGGCTTCTATTTATGGTTTTAGTAACAGCTCTCTCTAATAATGTAGGAATGTGTGAGTGTGTATTTGTGGGTTTTTAAACTATAAAAGTGAAAAAAGGTTTTCACACTTGCCATTGTGGTAAATGCCCGGAAACTTTGGGTGTCTATTTCGACTAATAAGACTTTGAATTGAAATGTAGAAGGACCATTCAGTGGTTTACTAGGGTGCATTAAAATGACAATTGACTCTAACCTAGATTACCTGTAGCCAGATTAGTAATTAGTTATACATTATAAAATAAATTAAACCACAAAAATTTTAGTTAGTACATAGAACTACTTCCAAAACTGCTAGGATATTTATCATTATAACAAATAACAACAACAAGTCGTCATCAAATTAACAATTGATTTCATTGGTCATTGTTATCATAAGTGTGTGAGCGTGTGTCTATGCATTAGTAGAAGTGTGTTATTTTCCATTTTATTGTTTTATTTAATAATTATAAATTTTATAGGGATTATAATTTGGCAACTCATTTTTATACAAATAGAAAATATATTTTTGTTAAATTCAATTTGTAATAATGATGTATGTATCTGTGTGTGGTCAATGTTCGCTGTAGTATTAAGGAGTTTTTGTATTTTGTGGCCCATTTAATGGTGTTTTTGTTTTTTCACATAAAACGGGTGTCATCGATATCTTCTTCACACAATTCCAATCTTTTGTTTGCAATTTTATCATTTTCAAATGTCAACAGAATCAATCTAACGTGTGAATGGATTTTAAATGTGAAAAAAATATTTTAAAGGAGGCGGACTGTTATCTAGTGGCTTCTTCCCATAATACGCAAAATCCTTTGTTTTGAATAATGATATATATTTTAGTTAACATCAAAACTAATTATAAAAATTTCATAAATTGTTTAGGAATCTTATTTTCAATATTAATTCAAACAAATTATTTGAGGCTGAGTTCGATTCTCATCTAAAGATATAATTTTGAAAAAAAATCTATAACTGATGCGATTTTTGAATTTAGATAAAAGACTCCTGAAAACATATCTAAACATGACGAAAGTATAACCAAACTAAATAAAAAAATAAAAGGTTTATTTTGAACAATGAATTTAGAATTTCGAAAAAAGGCTTGTTAGAGGAACGTAGCAACAATTTGTCGGTATTTCAAAAAATTCCGATTTATTTGTTCAAAATTATATAAAATATTGTTGGTAATTGAGTAAACAAAAATACTGTATTCATAGTCAATTTAAAATATAA